GGAGGTAACTCAATGAGTTAAATAATTGGTAATCAAAAAATATTTAACTAATTTTTTCTTACTAATTATAAAAATATATATAAATATATATATATATATATATATATTATTATATTATTTTTCACTAGCAGTGGAAAGCGCTAATTTATAAGTGATAGAGCTGACATATTCAGTAATATGCATAGGAGAAATGACCCTGGTATTTGCGTGAGAATTTCATTTTCAACAGGAAATAGGAAATTCAAAATCCACCACAAACATCCATCTAATTTTTTTTTTATAACGTGTGTGTTGTGTGATAAAAATATAGAACATATAAATAGGAATTTTTATTTCCAAAGACAAAATATCAAAGAAATAAAGGATAATGAGATAAAAAAAAAATGAAATAAAAATTTTCACAAAAAATATTATACCGCACTGAATTTATATATATATATATATATATATATATATATATATATATATATATATTCCCAATAGATTTTAAATTTATCTCATATTTCAAAAAAGTTATGACACATGTGTGGAATTCAGACAAATCAAATTTTCCTAACAATTTTTTAATTTTAACCAGAAAATTGACCATTTATTAAAAACATTTCATTCCCATTTGGAAATTTATTCTTCGGTTTTATTAAACTTGAAGGACACAGGCGTGTCCCAAAAAAAAAATTTAAACTTTAAAATTTTTTTTGGTTTTAATGAAATCAAAAGATACGGTTTTTTAATTAATATTTAATGAATGTTTTTTATAAATTGATTATATTGGTACCCTTTCGTTTGTCCATTTTTTATTTTAACTAATTTATCTATCTATCTTGAAAATCCTGAAATTACAATATATAACAATTATTTTAAATAATTTATATATTTGTTTTTCTTTTATAATATTTTTATTTATTAAATCCTCTTTTATAATAAACAATATTAACGATATTAATAAAATTTGAATTCGAAAAATTTCAAAAAAACATGCGTTTCCAAAAGGTAAATTAAACCTGTATCCTGAACGAAACTAAAAAATTATAACCTATTTATTTTACTGATTGAATAACACAGACTATTTTTGAATGATTAGTTAGTTTTGAAAGGTTGATTTTCAATTTTAAATAAAAATTCTCCATGAAAGTAATAAAAATCATTATTCATATCTGCTCGATGCGTATCCAAATGTAAACGAAAATGATTTAAAAATAAAAACAAATTATTTAAAAGACATTTTTAATTTTAAACATTCTTTTTATATTTATAAATATTTAATATATATTTCTGTTTATAATAAAACAGTATTTAACGACATTTTTAAATAGGGCGAATATTTCTTGAAAATTTCGCGCTCATTCAGGCCGAAAAATTTGAAAATAGATACTTAATAAAATTTTCGGACTTAGAAAAAATTTTCAAAGTCCAATTGACCTGAATGACATTTCAATTTAGGAGGAAAATGAAACAAAAAACCGAATGAACCTTTATAAACTATTCTTTTTAAAGAAGAATTTCATAGAAATTTTTGTTTTAGAAAAATTAAAACAAGGGATAGATATTTTAAAAGGTGCTAAGAAAACTAAATTCACAATTTGCATTTTAAAGGAAATACAGAATCGGAAACACAAATTCGTATTTTTACTGTTTCCATGTATAATTTTAAATTAATAAATTTGTATATATATATATTACTGATTGGATCTTTTTGTTTTTTTTTTTACATTAAGTATTTTTAATTCCTAACCAAATATTTTATAATACATGGGCTCGAAATTGACAATTTAAAAATGGAACTATTTTCGTCTACGTCAGTTTTTTGAAAAAATATTAACATAACAGCCGCCATGAACCCTCAAAATGGTAAAGAAAGATTTTTAAAGAGGTTTTTTCATTTTTAAAATTTAAAAAAAAAAACTTTTCATGTTTTTAAAAATGAAAAATTTGAAAAGAACATTTGATATAATGTATCCACAATAATGTTATGATTTTTCTTAAATTCCAGAAAATGATGATTTATTTTTTTTTTCGATTTTATAATTTTTTGGACAAAATTTATTTTTATCAAAATAAGTTTGATAAACATTTCTGAATGAAGATTTAAAATTTCTTATTTAATAAACATTTTTGAAATATGAAACATTTTCTTGATATAGAATGATATATATATAAAGGCACTAACGTTATATATATAAATATATTTTAAAACGATTTAAAAATGAATGCGTGGCTTGGGCTCAAGGTTAAAGAATGACGTTCACCCATACACAAAACGAAAAAATGGATTTTTCCGAACCCTAAATTGTTTTCAAATTTCTGAAGAATTACATTTTTAGGCGGTTTTTTTTTCACAGACGGTGTCAAACTGACCCTTTTATTTCATTTACAAAACAAGATCTGAAAATTGAAATTTCTTTGAAAATTTTATCATTTGATTATAAACATAATACAATATAGAATATTTATTTATTTCCTATAATATATATATATATATATAAAAGGCTTTAGAAATTAATTTATATCAATTGTTGTTTTATATATATATATCACTGAAATTTTTTCATTTTTATTTATAGATAGATATATTCATATATGTAAATTGTCAATAAATAGATAGATATATTTTATTTTAACTTAACATTTTGCGGCTTTGAAAAATTTTCAAGAGACGAGATTTTCGAAAGCACCATTTAGGAATCGTTTAAATTCAAACAATAATGGAATTCATCTTGGATTTTCAATGAAACAGTTTATTATAAAAAGAGACTCGGTTTATAGCGTTGGTAACAATGGTTTAACTGGTTTCAAATTTTACTGACAACTTGAATTTAAAACACTAAGATTTAAATTTTAAAAAAAAATTTTATATCACCAACATTGTATTATTTTGGTTTTTATTTGTCTACATGGTTCGACAAAAGATAATATATAGAAAAAAATCACATGTTGATAACTGTTACGAAAAAAGGAACTTTTTGACTTTTCAAATATTTTAAAATCAAGGTGTGCGATTTAACAGTTTGAAAATTTTATTGATAAACATATATATATATATATATATATATATATATATATATATTTATTTATATATCAAAACAACGTAAAGGGTGTTTAAAATTCAGAAAGGAACATTTTAAAAGGTGATTTAAATGAAAGTAAAACAGGTTGCACATTTCAGATTTGAAATGTCAAAAATCATTATATTTTTTTAAAAAAACCATGATTAAGAATGATCCTTAAAAAAAAAAAGTCAAATAATTTAAAGAATATTTATATATATATATATATATAACAACATTAAAAAAGCTGAAGGATGAGATATATAATATATATATATTGGTGATATCGAATAATGCAACTATTTTTACATCATCAAAATTTTTGAAATCGATTTTTTTTTGCTTTGGAAAGATTTGGCGGACATTTGGGTGATATTATTTTTCACACATAATTGCCATGACTTAAATAACATGATCCAATAGAGAAATAAATAAATTTTCACCAATAACACTGATTTATTTACTGCTGATTTTGATCCGTCTTAATGAAACACTGAAGGAATGATGAAAAAACGGCAACATATATAACACACACACACACACACACACACACACACACACACACACACACACATATATATATATATATATATATATATATATATATAATATTAAAAATATAATTGGGATGATGTCGATTTCGCTACTTTGGTTTCAACATTTTGGTATCAAAGGCGATTTTTATCAATTGATTTTCCCAATGCTTTATTTTTTTTTAAATGATTAATCCTCTCTTTATAATTAGAAAAACAACAACAAAAAACAACAACAAAAAAAAACAACAACAAATAAACGCATGACTTGGGGATAATAGGAAGGGAGGAGGAGGATGTGATGAAGAAGAAGGAGAAGAAGAAAGAAAGGGTATTGTAAATGTATCGGTGGTGGTGGCGAAGTTAATTAAAATGTATATAATTTTTTTTATCTAGCCTCATATGAAATTAATTTTTTGTATAAAGGCAATGATTCATAATTTTGGACCTTTGATTAAAAAAATATTTTAAACACGGTGGAATAATGGATAGCGGCTTGATTGAGGAATCGGAAATTTTTGAGTTCTAATTAAATTTGAATCCATTAAATCCACTACAATTTCCATCAATACCTTTGGGAAAGGTATGAATCTCTTCTTCTCTCTCCAGCTATGGGTAAATTTGAAGAGACTCAAAATTATAGCCTTGATGGCAAATGGTCTAGGAGAGAGACAACTGAATTCAAAACTTGCGGAGGGTCGTTTTGGGGATTTTGTGGCATTTAGTCACCAGGTCATGTATTCGACCCTTGAAAAGTGTGGATGGTCCTGCACGAAACCTTTTTCACTATAATCAAATCTCATGTGCTGATGTTGGGCTGTCGGTTTCTGAAATGATCAAAAAACCTCATACGTCAAATTCGATGGGAAAAAGTCCACCACACACACACATATATATATATATATGAATGAATAAAAATGCAAATTGAAAAATGTTAGTAATTGCTTCGCATTTATTTGAATTTTTTTTTTTCAAAGCAAAATTTTTTTTTTTTCCAATAGAACTTTGATAAAGTCCACATATATTATTCATAAATATAGTCTCTCTACTGGTTAAATCGGAGAAATTTTCATATATATATATATATATATATATATATATACACAGTACAGTACAGGTTGGTATATAATCCAAGTGGATCCTAATAATATAAAATATTAAAACTGATCCACAAATAAAGCTCACAGTATTTGTCATGACTGAGCATATACAAAATAGTGAAATCCAAATTTACCTCATGAGAATAGAATTTTTAATAGAAATCTTTAATACGCTTAATGGTGTGCAGATACAATGTTAGAAAGTTAAAAAAGTAAATATTTAAAAAAAGAAAAAGAAGAAACCGTTGACAATAGGATATTAAGTTAACCAAACATAACCCGTATCGTGGTAAGAGGAGGCGGATATTGTCTGGCTTAAATAGAAAGAGTTAACATTCTGTTATCTATCTATCTATCTATCTATCTATCTATCTATCTATCGCAGTCTATGTTCATATCTATCTATCTGTTGACAGTCTATATTCTATCTATCTATCTATTTTTGTTCTATCTATAAACCATTGATTCTATCTCAGTCTGTTTTGTTTAATATCTATCTAGTGAGAGTCTGCTCATATCTATCTATATCTATCTCAGTCTATTCATATCTATCTTTACTATAGTCTGTTAATTTTTTTGAGAATATCCTAGTCTATCTCATCTATCTATTCATATCTATTCTCATATTCTCTTTCAGTCTGTTCATTAAATTCATCTATTCATCTATCTCAGTCTGCTCATATTCATCTATTTCTATATCTCACGTCTATTCAAATCTATCTCTCTCAGTCTATTCATATTATCTCTCCTCAGTCTGTTCATATCTATCTCCTCTCAGTTGTTTTTCATATCTATCTATCTATCCTATCTATCTATCTATCTATTCATGTCTATCTATCTATTATCTATCTATGTCAGTCTGTTTTATTCATCTATCTATTTATCTATCTATCTCAGTCTGTTCATATATATTCAAAAATCTATCTATCTATCTATCTATCTATCTATCTATCTCAGTCTGTTGTTCATATATTCATCTATCTATCTATCTATCTCAGTCTGTATCTTATCTCAGTCATCTATCTATCTATCTATCTATCTATCTATCAAACCCCAGTTATCTGTCTATTTATCTATCTATCTATTGTCTATCTATCTATCTATCTATCTATCTATCTATATCTCAGTCTGTTCATACCATCTATCTATCTATCTATCTATCTATCTATCTATCTATCTCAGTCTGTTCATTTCTATCTATGATAGTCTTTCATCAACCTAAAGTTTATCATCTGTTTAAAGTAAAGGTTCAATTTTACATCTTGCCATTAATTCACCTGCTATTATATATATATATATATATATATATATAATAAGTCTGTTGGTTGAAGAACTACTGAGTCAATATAAAATCGATGAACAGATAAAGAAATTGATAAATACCTATCCTAACCGCCCGCAGCCACACCCTGAAACCTACGAACTTGCCCCACCCCATTCGCAGCACCGGTGCCCGCCTACAGCGAAACAGATGCAACGTTATGTTTCGTTGAACACTTTTTTTTTTTTTGAGATTTTAGTTGAATGAAAAAGAAGACATATGCATGCACTCTCTTCTTGCATTGATGACAGTGCGTTCTCTCTGGGTACAATGGTACCAAAAGTCAGACGATATAACCATGTCGTTTGAACAGAATGGCATTTCAACAAATGTCTTTAACCAAACAAAAGAAAAATTAGATATATGCATTCTTTACGCCATTTCGCTTCGTATGGCATTAACCCATCATTGTATATATGAACGTACATATATATATATATGAATGAAGTGTGTGTATATATATATATATGAATGTATACATATATATATATATGAATATATATATATATATATATATGAATGTATATATATAAATGTATATACACATATATATATATATATGAATTTATATATATATGAAGAAATATATATGAATGTAAATATATATATATGAATGTATATATATATATATATGAATGTATATATATATATATATGAATATATATATATATATATATATATATGGATGTATATATATATATATACATGGATGTATATATATATATATACATGGATGTATATATATATATGAATGTATATATATATATATGGATGTATATATATATATGAATGTATATATATATATATATGGATGTATATATATATATGAATGTATATATATATGATATATATATATATGTGTGTGTGTGTCTATATATGTCTATATATATATGCTTATATATGTCTGTATATACATATATATATATGTTATGTATATATATATATATATGTTTATATATGTCTATATATAGGTATACGTATATATATATATATATATATCTATGTATATATATGTCATATAATTCTCATCTATATATAGTTATATATGTCGGTATATATATATATATATCTATGTATAT